GTGTGTGTTTTTTCTTCATGATTATCAGGTGTGTGTGTTCTTCACGATGATCAGGTGTGTGTGTGTGTGTCTGTGTGTGTTTTTTCTTCATGATTATCAGGTGTGTGTGTTCTTCACGATGATCAGGTGTGTGTGTGTGTGTCTGTGTGTGTTTTTTCTTCATGATTATCAGGTGTGTGTGTTCTTCACGATGATCAGGTGTGTGTTTTTTCTTCATGAACGCCACAGAAATGCGGTGTCTCGTTCTGAGTTGTTTTCATTCCATGAAAAGCTTTTAGTCCCAGTTTCTTCCGTTACAGGAAAAGGYTTTACTGATTGATATTGACAATCTGTGATTCAGCCAACCCCCACCCTCTCATAGCAACCGAGACAAATTAGACCTAAGTGCTTCTATGGTAACAAACCAGCTCTTCATTTGGTTTGTCTAATGTTCTTCCTTTTCAGCTGCTCAAACTGGGTTTCTTCTTCTAGTCTTTTATGATTCTACACCAGGGCTATTCAACTAAATTGTTCCGGGGGCCACAGTTACTGCCGGTCAACAGCTAAGGGGCCGAACATCCAGCAATTAAAGTTATAATGTAAATAAACCAAGTGTTACAAAGATCTGTTACCTTTGAAATAGTTTATTTTACTGCATTTAATCATGAATACAACATACAGAACCCTATAAAAGTAGTGATAATTAAACATTATCAAAAACAAAAAACACATTCTGCCTCCTATTTTACACTAATATTTTGACATCTCTGACTTGCCAAATTTTTAAACTTCACTTTCTTCATTTTATCTTCAACTGCTTGTAGTTTTAACTGTCTTGAGTGTTTATAAAAATTGTTTTACCGGCTTCTAGCCAAGATTCTGACGTTTCTGTAGACACCAAACATGTCTATGTTTAACTAAAAGAACTTAGAGTAATTAACGTAGAAAACCGGGGGTTTGGGCTTAAGAGCTGAATAAACCATTTGGCGGGCCGAACTTTGGTCACTCCGGCCCGCGGGCCACCAGTTGAATAGCCCTGTTCTAGGGGCTTTTATCAGCTGTTGTTTGAAGTTTATTTATGAAAACTGGTTGATTTACTGTGGTGTGAATATATTTGATCTATTTCTTGGTAATTGTGTTGCTGTTGGATTGTTTCCAGGGATGGAAATTTAAAATGTCCTCCACTGGCCACAGTGGCTACTCAGGCGTTTACCAGGCACTCTTTTTTTTTTTTTCCCCTTTTTTTTTCTGGGTAACATTATGGCATATACCGGTACACAATTCAGTCCTTGATGGCCTCTAATTTAAATCATTTGTGCCTACAATGAAGCTAATAGCCTTGCTGCTGGAGGGCACATGCTGCTTTCACCTGGAACAAAACATTGACTGGCTGCTGTCATCAAAACTGAGTCGTAAACTCGTCGTTTTTAGTTTTTCTCCATTTTTTTGTTTAAAAAAAGGTCTAACTTTTGGTTCCTTCTCGATTCCCCTTGAACGTTTTTATCTGCCGCCCACTTAACTTCAGAAAAAAAAAGCCACTTTGCGAAAGTTTCCTTTCAGTTTTCTCCTCCTGATGGCTTTTAGAGCTGACTAACAGCCACTCAGGCACATTGCTGGCCTCTATAGTTCAGTAGCACAAATTGAACACGTTTWTTTATTTATTTATTTATTTTAGTTCAAATCATAAACCTGCCCCGGTGGCTTGTGCATTGTTCAAATTTACTCGCAGTTTCATATATTTACAGGCATTCGGCCGGTGGCGGGTGCTAATTTCCACCCCTTCATGGCAGCCCCAGATTTGATTATCTGTTTTTTCTTCTGTCTGACAGGATTATCTTCACTCGCTGGGTAAAGCTCGTACCGCTCAGGTCCAGAGGGATGCCAGGATCGGAGAGGCTCAATATAAACGKGATTCTGTTATGAAGGTAAATAATGTAAAAATTATAATGTTAACAAAAGAAAACGCTCCTGTCTTAAAAGAAATTACCTCATGGGTGCCAGTTCATAAACATGAAAGCACACTTTTTACCTGCATCAGCTATAAAATAAAACRTAAAACAAATAATGGGAGATCATTAGGATTTTGGTGAAACACAAGAAAACTCAGCTCCCTTTAAAACTTTATAACTCAGGAATGCTGCACAATAAAAAAAATCAGGTTTAAAGTTTAAAAGAGTAGCAGAACTTTTTGATATCTTATGTCTTTTTTTTTGTCGCTGCTGTAGGATTTACAGTTTACTCTGTCTGAACAGAGCTTCCACAGATTCAGTCTCTGCTCTTTATCTCAAATAATTGTGAAAGTCTTTTTAACTTACTCTCTATGAAACAATGTAGAAACATAGATGCGACTCCTCTGCTGCTCATTGTTCAAGATTGAAGCTCTGACTTGTAGTTTTTGCAGTAGTTTCTTCATTTTACAGTCAGGGAGTGAGAGACAGGTGTGTGGTTCCCATGGGAATCGTAATGAACCACTGACAGCAACTTAAACATTTCTGTTGTTCTTGGTTCTCTTTAAAGGTCTTGAGGGGTTCATACATTAAAATGTAGGCATCATTTCGTAGTTTAAAAAACAGATCTGGTGGAATTTTGATCAGGAGCTGTGTCAGCATCTTTCAGCATTTTCTCAGGATGTTTCCAGGATTTCACACATCTCCCGTTTGCAACTCTCCCATTTCCAGGAGGCCCACGCCATGCAGGAGAAGGTGTCTGCTCAGTACAAGAATGAGATAGARATGGCGAAAGCACAGAGAGATTACGAGCTGCAGAAAGCAGCGTACGATGCCGAGGTCAACACCAAGAAGGCCGAGTCAGAAATGGCCTACCAGCTTCAGGTACGCTCCTCTGCTCCGAATCTGATCCTCGACGGCCAAACGAACAAGTTAGAGGGCAAACGGTGGTTTCCTGKATCTCTAAMCTTTTTATTGCTTGATTTGTAAGCAAAGTTTAAATTGTCTTTACAAGGTGGCGAAGACCAAGCAGCGCATCGAGGAGGAGAAGATGCAGGTCCAGGTGGTGGAGCGCACGCAGCAGATCACTCTGCAGGACCAGGAGATCATCCGCAAAGAGAAAGAGCTCGAGGCTAAAGTCAAGAAGCCTGCCGAGGCTGAGAGATACCGCCTGGAGAGGCTGGCCGAGGCTCAGCGGTGAGTACTRGAGCTGGACCCTCCTCATGGCCCGGATCAGGAGGGGTTACCTTGTACATGGAGTTTGTTCAAACAATGAATTTTTCATCTCTCCTGTAGCCTGCAGCTCATCATGGAGGCTGAAGCTGAGGCAGAGTCCATCAAAGTGAGTTTTTTATTTTCCTCTTTTGTTTTATGTTTTACTGTTTTTGAGACAAATGAATATTCCACAGTGCTGCTTTTTACTTTCCACCYCGTTTTCAAATATTTACTGTAAACTGAACTGGGCTGTTGTTGTTCCTCCGTGCAGATGAAAGGAGAGGCYGAAGCTTTTGCTCTGGAGGCTAAAGGTCGCGCTGAGGCCGAGCAGATGGCTAAAAAGGCTGATGCCTTTAAGCAGTACAAAGATGGAGCCATGGTGGATATGCTGCTGGAGAAAATACCACTGGTCAGTCTGACTCCTATAAACAAAACGATAATTATAAAAAATGCATTAACTGTGAAAAAACAACTTTATTTGATTGAAGTGCCTGTGGCATGCAGATCCTTCAAATACATAAAGTAAAGAAAACATGTTTAGATTTATGACATTTGGCACAACACGCGATTTTCCCCATTTTGTCACATAACTGGCATATTTTCATTTGAACTGGGTTCAGCCAAAGTGAAACAGGAAGTGACATCAAAGGGGAACTCTAAAACATTATTATTATGACCCCCGCACGCGAAGCGTAAGCGGGAGTCATATTGTTTTTGTACTGTTTTATTTATTTGTTGTTTTTTTTTCAGTGATTTTTGGTCAACCATAGCTCAAAAACAGCTGCACCGATCAACATAAAATTTGACAGGGCTGTAGATGAGTCTGACCTACACTGAGCCAGCCAACGGTTTTACGATAGACCCCATATTTGAGGAGGGGGCTCCTTTCAAAGAGGGGGTGTCAGGACATATGAAAGGCTTATAACTCAGAAACTGTTCAACATAAAAGCTTCAGATTTCCTTTGTTGTTTAGCCCTGATGAAGCTCTATCCATCAGGCCCACCAATCAGTGCCCCTCACCCCATCGGACCCCCAATTTACCTGAAAAAGGGGTGTCTGGACATACAAAAATGCTTATAACTCAGAAACTGTTCAACATAGAAGCTTCAGATTTCTTTTGTTGTTTAGCTCTGATGAAGCTCTATCCATCAGGCCCACCAATCAGTGCCCCTCACCCCATCGGACCCCCAATTTACCTGAAAAAGGGGTGTCTGGACATACAAAAATGCTTATAACTCAGAAACTGTTCAAC